AAGAACCGAGATCCTTGTGGTGATAATGAGCGCTCTCGTGGTAATGAGGGCGAGCGTTGTCGTGACGAGGACCGAGGTCGCCGCTGTGCTGAGAAAGAGTTTTTTCGTACTAAGAACCGAGGTCCTTGTGGTGATAATGAGCGGTCTCGGGTTAGTGAGGGCCAACGTTGTCGTGATGAGGACTGAGGTCGCCGCTGTGCTGAGAAAGAGTTTTCTCGTACTACGAACCGAGGTCCTTGTGGTGATAATGAGCGGTCTCGTGTTAGTGATGGCAAACGTTGTCGTGATGAGGACCGAGGTCGCCGCTGTGCTGAGAAAGAGTTTTTTTCGTACTAAGAACCGAGGTCCTTGTGGTGATAATGAGCGCTCTCGTGGTAATGAGGGCGAACGTTGTCGTAATGAGGACTGAGGTCGTCGCTGTGCTGAAAAAGAGTTTTCTCGTACTAAGAACCGAGATTCTTGTGGTGGTGATAATGAGCGGTCTCGTGGTGATGAGGATCGAAATTGTTGTTGTACCGAAAACGAGTGTTTTCGTGCTGGGGAGGAGCGTCCTCGTCTTGGTTGTATAACTGTTTTTTGTGATGAGGACGAGGGTGATGATTTTAGTGGTAGTGATGCTTTTAACATATCAATTTGCTTTTGAAACTCATCGTAAATATCTGTCCTTTTTGTTTCTATGATAAAAGAAACTGAAATTGAAGATTTCTGTAACTTTCGATGCGCTTCTTGAACCATCGCTTCAGCGACAAGACTAATTGAACATCCAAACTGGCCGCAACCAATAGCAGGGAATGCAATGCTTTTGTACTTTTCCATCGTCGCTCTTTCTATTGCATCAGAAACGAATTTTTCAATAGATTGCCGAAGAAGAGATGCATCGGAATTTGTTTTCCATGGAAGAAAGTAAACCTTTTTTGATTTAAGCTGTCCTTCAGCTTTAACAACGATGACAGAATAGTTTGGGTTTTTTTTCGACTGTGAATCGAAAGAAGTTTTGATAGACCCTCCACCAGCTTCACAAATAGCTTTAAATAAATATTCTGAGGAAGAAGATACAGCAATAACATCTGTCTGAAAGCATGAGAAAATTGGTTCACTACAGATAGATATCTTCTTTAAGTATCTTACTTGTTGCGTTATCAGATCACCTTTGTAAACATGAATTGATGAGTCTGCACCCTGTAATAGAAAGCAGTTTTTCAGCATTATTTTTATCTACAATAAGAATGAACCTGAAAAATTTCACTAAGTCAACTATGAGGCGGTTAACTTGCTGTATTTGTAAGTGATCTCAGATACTATTCTATTTCTGATGGATATAATTAAAAGACCTGCCTTAGAGTGGTTAGAATTACATCATTATTTCTATCATTGATTTTATTTTCTTAGGAATATAGAGTAGTACTAAATTATGCAATATGTCAATTGATGAAACAATCGGCAGCTTAATGAGAGAACAGCAAAAATCTGAAGTGTCTATTCATAAGTTACCACTTCGCTCCGGAGATGTCAGTTTACGACGATCTTGGAGTATGGCTGTGGTGAGTGTGGTTGTCTAAGGGTGTTGAATCTTCTCTTTATCAACATCTACACTCATCCCCATCACCACACCCAAATCTACCCCCATCGCTACACTGACATCCATACCCACATCCACATCCACAACCACAATAAATGACTATGAAGTTACGTATATAGCAAGAGGTATCAAGTGCGTAGTCTATTGAAGGTGAAAGATTGCTTACAACCTGATAGCATCAATATAGTTGGGATAGATTTAAAATAGCGAAGAACAGCCCGATAACACAGCGAAAAAATAAGCTATTTTTAGCTCTGTTAAAATGCCATAACCAATAACCCCAACAACGTCATAACCTATAAAGGTTCAAAAATCCTCGATGGGCACCCGGAATAAATTAGACGAGATTGATAGGCGTAGGTATATATAAGATGCTGTGAAGTAATCAAAGACGTTCAATTATCCAACTCATAAGGCTACGATAATTAACGAGTTGTACAATTTCTATGGCCGAGAGGGTGTAGGTATGTAGGTAGATGAATCGTCGCACTAACTACCATCCAAACCTGCATCCACACCCACACCCTCGCCGATCTTCTCAAAATCTAGACGATAGATAAATATGAGAGAATAGTTTCAAGTTTGAAACTTTCCATATATTGCACGTCCCCAAAAGTAGTGAACATGTGGAGAATGAGAGAAAGCAGTGGTCATTATAAGATAGTCATTATAAGATAAGTCATTGTGTCTGATAGCTTATCTTTGATGAGAAAGACGTGTGATGTTCCGGCATGTAGTGTATGGCATGTCTGTGACATTCGATAAAGCATGAAATTATAGCTTCGGTGATTATATCTTGTATGGTGTGAGGTGGTGTGGTATATAGGAGCTGAGAAGGCGAGGTGCGTTGCTTTATGTAAAGACCTCGAGTATTATGACGATATAAGTTGTTCCTTTTTTTCTGTAAGAATTCTAAAATTTACATATGCTTGTAGGGCTCTTTGAACTTGGTGTTCTTGAACAAATATACTTTGGCAACTAAGGAAAATGTTTTGACATTTATTGAACTGTGCTAGGTGCTTTATGTTGGTTTTTTCACTGGTGGATCACATCTAAACTAAGATTGACCGTTATGGTAGCTTCACGTCGATTTAAAAAACACGTTGAAAAATACACGTTCATGTGCGGTGGCAAGATGTTCGTATTTTCATCAAAAGAAATAAAAAACACGCGTTAAAACGCATGAAAAATAATGGCCTCGTAAGGAATAAAATTAAACATGTTCGAACGATGTTTTTGAGTGATGTTTTAAGTTAAAAAAACGCGTTGGAAGTAGAAAAGATGTATTTAAACGCGCTGCGAACGAAAAGCGATGCGTTTAGATGTGCCTCGAATAAAAGAAGATGCGCTTAAACTAGAGATGGACACGGCTCGGGTTTTTCGACAAATGAACCGAACTGTTCGGCTCGATTCGGCTCAGTTTGGTTCACAAACCAAGCTGTGCTCATGTCTGGTTTAATCTCAAAAACAGCGTTTTTTCTTCTAAAGGTGTGCGGTGGAATACATTTTTATACAATTTTTTTCGCGGGTAGCTGATGTTTCGAAGTATTCTTTAGTAGTGTTCTTTCGATGAAATAAATTGCATATAGTATTTCATCGAGAATAATATGTACATAGAGGTAAAGAATAATACAGCAAATATTTTGGAATGAATGGATTTTTCCAAGTAGAACTTCTCTCATTTACATAAGTATGAGCAACAGAAAATAATTTCAAATTGGACGATTTTAAATTTATCCATACTGAGAAACCTTTAAATAAAAATGAATATTTAGATGAACTGTTTCAAATAATGGCTTTTAAAATATATTGTTATATTAAATTACTAATCTTTAACTTTCTCTGATCAATGTCCTTTTTTAAATGTTTTCATTGTTCCTGTCAGATAATCAAATAAACTATATGAGATTTTTACTGCTAACCGAGTAATAATTAATTGAGAGTTATTGTATGTCATTTCCTTACTGTACCTATTATTAAAATAATTCCTTTAACAATTAGTTCTTAAACGGCTTTGAAACTCAGCAAATTCTTTCCAGTGAAACTTATCATTATGTTCACCTTACTGGAAAGACAGCTTCGAATAGCTAAATAGCACGTTTAAATCTACAACGGAATCTTTCTTTTCGAAAAGTAACATTTTCAAAAGTTAGGGTTCTCTTCCATACAAACTTACCATGTCTTGATGGTTTCTCTTTCGATTCTGCTTTTGTGATCGATGGAATCTGTTGTGTTGATTCAATTATACCTTTTCTTTCTGCAGTGAGACGTATTGGGTGTGGGCGGCTAGGGTGTGGGTGTGGGTGTGGGGGTGTGGGTGTGGGGGTGTGGGTGGGTGTGGGTGTGGGTGTGGGTGTGGGTGTGGCTGGGTGTGGCTGGGTGTGGGGTGTGGGTGTGGGTGTGGGTGGGTGTGGGTGTGGGTGTGGGTGTGGGTGTGGGTGTGGGTGGGGTGTGGGTGTGGGTGGGTGTGGGTGTGGGTGTGGTTGAAACTATGACACATACCCACACCTCCACATCCAGCAAACCCACACCCACAGTCACACCCACATCCACACCCACCAAAACGCACATCCACGTCCACACCTCACACCTACACCTAAAATGAACGGTGTTCCCTCGAAACATGAGTGGAACCCTGATAAAGTGCCTTCTGTGTGCATTGCCAACTTATCAAGTACTTTTGCATAAATGATGAAAAACTTTCTTTTAGTGGATTACAGTTAGTATACCAATGAAAAAAAGGTGCATGCCTGTTTAAAATAATAATGATGTATTGCTTGAAAAATCATGTTTTTTATATCAGCGGTACGATGATTAAGAATGAGCTCGTGTTTGGACATTGTGATCATCAAAATTTTGCTTCCAAATAAAATTCATGTGATATTTAAAACCAGCATAAAAAGCTGAATCGAATAACATAAATCTTATCATAAAATATTTTTCATCGAAATTTGATCCCTTCTTCTATGGCTTATTCGTAGTGATTTAATCGGAGCTCTCGTTCGGATTGAATTTTGATATAAAATATTTTGTAATAAAATCTATGTATTTCGATTCAGCTTTTTATGCTGGGTTTAAATATCACATGAATTTTATTTGAAAAAAAATTTGGATGATCAAAATGTTCAAACATGAGATCATCTTAATTATTTGAAATTTTCTTCAGCGAAAACCAACTTTCAAAAGCGTAACGTAGTATTTTTCCTATGTAATTCGATGAATTCTATTCGCATAAAAAAAAGACAACAAAAATAAATTACTGCTTTAATTTTGAATTAGCTCCACCTAACAACGTTAAAGATATAGCTGTAAAGATATAAGGATATAGCCATACGAGTATAGCCATAAGGATATAGGTATACGGGTATAGTCGTACGGGCATAGGTATGACAATACAGTCTTACAAATACAGCTGTAGGAATGTAGTTATGCGGTATAGAGGTAGGGATTTAGACACTGAGGTGCCAGCATTCCGATCTCATTTGTAGCGTATAGTCATTACAATGTCGCAACAACATAGGTGGATTTTGTAAGAATTGCTGTGAATTTTAACCGATTTCTAATCGATTCTGAATCAATTGATAATCGATTATAATCATACAACTGTAACTGGTTATTAATCGATTAGAAATCGATTAAAAACAACCTTAATATATTTTAATCGAGTAATATAGTAGAATAACTGTTTCAGCTGTTATAATCAATTATGGCTAATTATAATCGGTTTTTAATCGATGACAAATTGGTTCCTAATCGATTCGTCGTCGATTAAAGAGGTATGGTTATAATCGATTTTTAATCAAATTGTAATCAATTTGAATCTGATTTTTGCCGTATTTTTTTACATGGGATGGATACTGCTGCCTTAGTGTTATTCATTTAGATTTCCGTTGAATACCATTGAATGCGTCTCCGTTTCGTTCGATGAATTTATATGAAAACATATCACAGACACACGCATATCACTGTGCACAAGGACATTGATACGAATGTCAACATTCGCATTCATATGCGCCCTTTTCAAACTTTCGATACTAGCTGTGTTGAG